TTAAATCTCAACAAATTTTGTTCTATTTTTTGTATTTAAAGTGAAACACAAATTTAATCTCCTGTGGTATACTCTTTTGCAATATCCAATTTAGTCAAAGCAAACCGTCAAATGTTTAGGTGATATTAACCCATGCGTTATCTACTCCATGTTTGGGAAAGTGCAACCTTGACACGTAATACATCTTTTGTGCGATCTCTATTGTCATCTTAAAGCCATCAAATCCTGTTACATCAAATCTGATGCCGTCTTCAAGTGTAGAACAGTTTTGGAAGAACTTGCCTACAGCTATCGGCTGTGTTGGGTATCAGGACATCATGGGTAATGAAAGAGCAAACGAATTAGCTAGACGAGGATCTCAACCTACAGATCTAGCAATTGATGGCTCAATCAAATCACCCATATGTCATCTCTCCATATCTCTTTACCAAAAGGACACACTCACTGTTGAACCTGAGCAAAGCTGAAATAAGAGTAATGACATGGATCATTACTGGTCATTGCAATATCAAGGACTTTACCAGTAAAGACTCCACCGAGTCTTAGTTTCTTATAACGGGACCTGCTCTAATCTACAGCATAATTAGACACCTAAAGTGTTTGGGAAAGTGCACGTAATATATCTTTTGTCCGATCTCATCGATACTAACTCATACTTAACTTCTCACACTTCCTTGTAAGCTTCTCATCTCTCTCTATCCGCCTTTTTTTCTCTCTCCATAGATCCCCATAGATCTTTTTCTTTTCGTGGATGATCACAATGGACCTGACGGTCTCAGAGTGCTGCAGCCACTTTAGTAACTGCACATCCCCAAACCTAACATAAGGACTAATTATCCAATTACTTACCCACCATTACTAATATATACCGGATAAGTTCAGTAGATTTTTTTTGCGCAAGATGTCGTCAACCTGTGACAGACTGGTCGAAACCTTTAATATATTTTTCCTTCAAGCTTTAAAGGAACATATTTCTACATTTCTACCTATCTGTACAATAGACAGAAAATTTGACATTCGACTCCAAATTATCTGAAAATAATTTGGCGACAAATAATCCCAATCTCTAAGGTTGAATGAAACAAGTTAAATATAAAAGTTGAAATCAGATCGATCTAAATCAGCTCTAAAACTAGCCAAGTGTTTGTTTTAACATGGGGTCAGGATCCATGAGCCATAGACTTCACACTATTTTTATACCCTTTACCACACTGTGCATATGTTTGTAACAGGCAAAATGAAACGAGATAGAAACGTGGTTCCTTTTGAGAATATGCATAGAATCACTTTCTGAGTCGATTTACGCATGTCCTTCCGTCCGTTCATGTATTGAGAACAAAGTACAGGTCGTATTTATGATCCGATTTGGATGAAATTCGGCATAGGTCACTTATTTGGCTCAAGGACGAACCCTATTGTACAGGAACAGACCAAATATTTAATAGTCTGTAAAAAGAATTCGGATTTGTATAAAAAAACTTTAAAGTATTTGTATAAATTCAATTGAATTAAACAAAAAAAATCCATTTGGTCCTAATTGGTTTTCAATAAGCAATGTAATTTTGGATTATCATTATGAAATGATTAATATTAATGCAATTTAAAAGATACACCCCATATAACGGTACTTACCGAAATTCAAAAGTTCATATCATATCCCTGGGATCCTTTTCTTTTCATACCGTACACATTTCAATTCGATGCGTAACCGCTTCTTGAACTTTATTAAGTCTGCTTTTCTTAGAGCATTCATCATTGTGTTTACCTGGAAAAAAGCAAATATTTTTTTTTTTTTTTTTTTTTATTATTTTGGTTGGCCCACTTTCTATAGGGATAGAAGGTTTAGTGCCATGTATCCGTATGTAGCTTTGCTACGAATTTGACTTTATCCATAGATGGTGGTTTGTGTTTTGCAGGTTGACTTATCTTCTTTAAGAATTTGACCACAATGTTCAGACTTTCTAAGCCTTGTGTATCAGTGAACTCTTCTACTGTGAAGGAGTCACATAGTAGCGAAAAGCATCTTCTTTTGCTATTAAATTTACGAAAATTAAAAATTTCATGCGCAGCTGTTTGGATTTTGTTGAACGACTCGTAATTTATAGGTTATCCGTATTTAAAAACACACGTGTTAGTTAAGCGAACGCTTAACAACCGCCATTTTGTAAAAATCTATTTTTAAGCCCGTGGGCGTGTAGTACTCATTTAAAATTTTTTTACGTCTTTCTTGTGAGCCGTCCGAGGACGAACTGAAAGCAAATATTTGTGATTCTGATTTTATTTGATGTGGTATTTAATAAACAGAGTTGTCTTTTTTAAGTCCTGATTTATATTAGGCGAGTTTGATTGCAGCAATTTTTATATATACAAGGCAATTCGGTTTCTAAATTTTTTTTATTTGTTGTTTTTTCACAGTTAAATATATATAAAATATATAAAATGTGTATATATATAAAATGTCAACAAATACGAAATACACAAAACGAATTGCCAGAAAATTGTCGGTACGAGCAATTTTTTTCATTTCTATACCCCTTGCCCCTCTCTCTCCGCAAGTAAACTCGCCTAATCTAAATTTGGACTAAAGGTGCAGCAATAATAGTGGATTTGAAAATATTTGTTTATAATCTATAGACGTAAATTGTTTTAATAATAAATATTTCTAATTGTTTAAGGGATTTTTCATGGGATTCCAAGGCCGTTGATTTTTATATTCACGGCCAATGAGCGCATATACACTTTGTTACGCTCAAAATGTACCTTATTGGTTTTAGATCACTTTTTTTGCCAATGCCATTTTCGACTACTTAAAGTCGATTTATAAATTACCGTCCGTCTATCCGGCCGGCTATAACGCACGATAACTCTCGAAGGGAGAGTTATCGTGCTAAACTTTGCACATCGTAATATTTATTCCAAACGTAGATAAGGTTCGAAGATGGAGAATATCATGCTAAGATTAAGTCTGAATATGGGATTAATTTGTCAACATCTTCTGGTACATCTCCTGCAAAGGGTCAATATTTTATAAACGTGTAAATTTAATTTGGAGCTAATTGAATAACCTATTTGATCAGCATTATATTATACTTTTTGAAGTGCCTCAGTTTTTTTAATATTTTATTTGGTGTATATTTTTAAGAATATTTTTTTAAAGGTACAGCAATAGGCGTAGATTTATAAAAATATTTTGTAAATCATTTGGCGTAGATTTTATAAACAAAATATTTTTAATTGTGTATCATTAGACGAAGATTTTTGAAAATAGTACTCAAAGGTCCAGCAACAAGTGTGGTTTTTTTAAACATATTTGTCCAAGACCGAGCAATACGAGTGGAATTTTAAAAATATTTTTTCAAGGCCTAGCAATAAGCGTCGAATTTAAAAAAAGGTTTTTTTTAAGTCCAGCAATAACTGTAAGTCAAAAGTCGATCTAATTAACCCTATTTCATGCTTTTTGTGCTTTGCCCCCATATTTGTAAACAAAATCAGCTGTTTATTCAAAATTCCCTCATATCTCTTTCTAAACACAGACACTATTCTGTGCCATACCTCTCACACTCATTCGTAAACACTCATACACCAGCTTTTTTGTTTTGTATCTTTTTTTGTTTAATCGGCATTCTCTTTTTGTCGTATCTTTTGGAACGTTTTTTACGAATTACGTACGTTTTGTGGTTTAAAAATAAATAACAAAAAATACAAAAAAACCAAAACAAATGCTGGTGGTGATGCAAAAGAGAACGAGGAGAGTGAGCAAGGAGGGAGGAAGAGAGCTGCAGAATGAGGGGGTGGGGTAGTATCAACTGTGTGATAAGAAAAACTGAATAAAATTTCGAAGACGACCATCTGTTTTGAATTAAAAATTTGAATATTAACAACAAAAATTTGATTGTGGTGCTGAGCGTTAGCAGGTCAAGTGGACACTATCTAGTGCATTGATGATTAAAACTAGCTGGTTGTTCCAAGATTAGCTGCAAGTGTGTGTTGAGGTTTGGTTTGGCCCCTATGCATGCATAATTATGCTAATGTATAAGCTAATATATTTTTATTTTATATTTTTTAACAAAGTCAATGACACATGGAAAAATGTGGAATAATTAAGAGGAGCAGCATCAGCATAATCATCATCTAACACAATTATCAAAGAAATGCCATGGTGAAAGTTATTTTTGAAACAAAAAAACATTGCCAGCAGCTAATCGAAAATATTGGAATGGCTAGGTAGGGAGATAGGTATACAACAGCTACAACAAAACAGCCAATAAGAGTGATTATCAAATCGAATTTAATATTACGTTGTGTGTTTTTTTGCAGTTGACCCCCCTTCATCGAAGACAACAACAAGAGTGCACCTCTAGCCACCTATAACCAAAACAGCTGCTGCTGACGTTGGGGACTGTTGATTATTTGGCTTTAAGAGGGGGCCATCCATACTTTTGATTATACCCAAAAAGAAAACAAACACTCAGTTTGATTTCGCCTGTCCGCTGTTGTGCTTGTCGATCTACTGGTGGTGGCTGGTTGTCGGTGTGTTCAGTTCATTTTTTTTCGATTTTGTCGCTGCTTGCCTATTGGGGTGGCCTTCATCATTTACTTTTTAGTCGGTCGGTCGGTTTTGAGTTAACACAAAAAAAGAGAACCAACAGAAAACATTATATACGGATATTCGGTCGGTTGGTCGGACAGTCGGTCGGGCGGTTCGTTCTCTGGTGTCAAACAAAAGTGAAACAATTTTCTTTACATATTTTTACGACGCATTGTGCAGTGCAGCAAAGAAATTCTTATTCGGATCGAAAAGAAAGAAAAAAATAATACGCAAAAATATTGAAAATTGAAATTATGACAAAATTAAATTAGACAATTAACCAGAATTCAGCGAAAAAGAAAAAACAAATATAACCAAAAAAAGCGAACCATAAGCAAAACAAGTTCCGAAAAAAGAAATTCCAACAACACACCAAGTCATCGACATGGAATGCCAGCAGGAAATAACAACGATGACTGATGTCGGCGGCGGCGATGACAATAAAGCCAAAAAGGCGAAAATTTCTTCGGATAGTGAAACGGAAAGTGACAACGATGATAGTGGCCGTTCCTCACTATGGTGGTCCATACCGGAACCTGTACTCATCAATGTGCTACGCCTGCTTGAACCTCAAGATATATTAAATGCCTCGGCCACTTGTCGTCGTTGGTACGAAGTGGCCAATGATAATATTTTGTGGAAACATAAATTTCAACAGCATTTTCGTACCGATCCCTCAATACCTTTAAAACCGGGTAAGCAGGCAAGCGCCTTGGTTAGGTGATAATATTTTATTTATCGATTTGTTTTGCTTCGCAACAGGTGCCGCCTCCTGGAAAGATGAATATGCCCGTCTCACCTCACGCATACCATTTGTACAGGCAGAACGTCTGTATGGTCACACGCATCAGGTGCTGCATGTTAGCTTCTCCCATAATGGGGAGATGTTTGCAACCTGTTCCAAGGATGGTTATGTTATTGTAAGTGAAAAAACAGAATTTTGAAGAGGTTTTTAAGTACATCGGTATTTAAAATTGTTGATATATTTATGGCTTTTATTTTCTTTGTTATTAAACAAAAGGCAATATGTGGAAAATATAGATAAAAAAGTGGCCAATATCAAGTGGTTCAGATAATCAAAGAATGTGCAATAAATAGAAGCGTTATTAAGGGTCTATTAAGAGGTGTAGATTTCTTAAAAGCATTTTTAAAAGTCCCTAAATAAGGCGTGGATTTTTAAAGGTCCCTAAATAAGGCGTGGATTTTTTAATGGTCCCTAAATAAGGCGTGGATTTTTTAAAGGTCCCTAAATAAGACGTGGATTATTTAAAGGTCCCTAAATACGGCATGGATTTTTTAAAGGTCCTTAAAAAAGGCGTGGATTTTTTAAAGGTCCCTAAATAAGGCGTGGATTTTTTAAAGGTCCCTAAATAAGGCGTGTTTTTTTAGAGGTCCCTAAATAAGGCGTGGATTTTTTAAATGTCCCTAAATAAGGCGTGGATTTTTTAAAGGTCCCTAAATAAGGCGTGGATTTTTTAGAGGTCCCTAAATAAGGCGTGGATTTTTTAAAGGTCCCTATATAAGGCGTGGATTTTTTAAAGGTCCCTATATAAGGCGTGGATTTTTTAAAGGTTTCTAAATAAGGCGTGGATTTTTTAAAGGTTCCTAAATAAGACTTGGATTTTTTAAAGGTCCCTAAATAAGGCGTGGATTTTTTAAAAGTAAAGGATTTTTATACCCTTCATCACACTGTGGTACTGGGTATTATGTCTTTGTGCATATGGTTGTAACAGGCAAAAGGAAACGAGATAGACACATGGTTCCTTTAGAGAATATGCATAGAATCACTTTCTGAGTCGATTTATGCTTGTCATTCCGTTCGTTCCTCTGTCAATGTGCAGGTCGCATTTATGATCCGATTTGGATAAAATTTGGTATAAGTCATTTATTTGTACGAATGACGAACCCTATTGAAATTGGGAAAAATCGGTTCAGGTTTAGATGTAGCTCTCATATATATTTTCGTCCGATTTAAGGTAAATGGTGCACCAAGGTCCCCATATATCTTTCCATTTCCACGAAATTTGGCATAGGATACTGAATTAGGTCTAGAATGACGTGTGTAGAGTTTCGAGGAAATCGGGTCAGATTTAGCTGTAGCTCCTATATATATTTTCGTCCGATTTTATGTAAATGGTGCATCAAGGTCTCTATATATCTTTCGATTTGCTCAAAATTTGGCATAGGATAATGAATTAAATCTTGAATGACGTGTGTCAAGTTTCGAGGAAATCAGGTCAGATTTAGCTATAGCTCCTATATATATTTTCGTCCGATTTTATGTAAATGGTGCACCAAAGTCCCTATATATCTTTCGATTTGCACGAAATTTGGCATAGGATATTGAATTAAATCTAGAATGACGTGTGTCAAGTTCCGAGAAAATCGGTTCAGATGTATATATAGCTCCCATATATAGTTTCGTCCGATTTTATGTAAATGGTGCACCAAAGTCCCTATATATCTTTCTTTTTTTTATATCCACGTCTAAATAAATATAGGCATATAAAAATACTTTTAAAAAATTCCACATCTAATGATAGCCCCTAAAAAAATATTTTTAGAAAATCTAACCTTAAAATATATATTTTTCAGATCTGGAACTCCAACCACCCTTGTACCGAACGCTACTTTCACAATATGAAACACTTCAGTTGGAAATATACGCAATACTCACAGTTCAATCAAAGTGATACCCTGCTCTTGGTCTCGGGTGTACACTTTGGGGCACCACACAGCACCTCCGGTGAAATTGTGGTCTTTACAATTGGAGAAAATGGTAAATATTCTGAAATTATTTTCAAATAATCCTTAATAAAATATATCTCCCTTTCCAGGTTCCCATATGAAATGTCGGGTGCGTAATCGCCCCTATGACATCTTTGGTACATGGTTTAGTGATCAATATTTAATATCGGGTGATCTCCACTGGTTGGCCCATTTAATTAGCACCTCCGTATTGTGGTTAAATAAAGCCAATCAGGAAGTTGATTCGGAACATGTACCCGTTATGAATCAATTGTATAAATTCTATAATCGTAATGCCACATCGGTGAGGGCGATTATGATGGCGCGATGTCCATGGTTGGATGACTCCAATGATCCATTGGCAGAGGATAGTGCGGCGAAGGAAGAAGATGTGAGTAAGGAAAATAAATATCAACCTTTATGTACTAAATATCCCCCTTCATTATTTTCTTTTTCAGACGGATGATGTAGATATGGCCCAGGGTCCATCAACATCAAACACAGTTGGCAATCCATTATCCCACTTAGCTTCGGTGCGACCTTCTGTGGATACTTTTGAAAATACTGATGCAGATCCCGATTTAGATGATTCGATGCCATCAACCTCAAGAAGACGAAGACGTACCCACACATCTGATGATATTTCAATTTATTTTGCCGATGAATATCGTCGTTTGTTTAATGGCGAAACAGATCCTGCCACAATTGATGATGATGACGACGACGATGATGATGAAGACGAATCGGTGGCGGCTGCTGCTGCGGTGGAAGAAGAACACGATGAAATGGAAAATTCAATACCGAAATATTTAATATTTTCAACGGGTTCGAAAACCTATACGCCGCATCAAATTGGTATTAAACGTATTCGCCATGTGACATTTCCCAAGAAATTAGATTTGGGTCCATCGCTTAAGGAGAGAGTGGCAGCTAAAAAGGAAAAGGTTGGTTCACAATATTTTATTTCAAATCTCTATTGGACAAATTTGACATAAACCAATATATCCGATATACCGTAGAGGGTTTGAACTCTACTAAAATCCATTTGAGAAATCTTTTCTTCGGATTAGTGTTTTCACTTTAATTTCCTACCTTCATTTATTTTCTGTTTTCTTCCTTTCTACCAGAACCAAGTACGTGAACCCGATCCCGATTGGAATAATTATGATTCGGTAGCCGATCGTTTTGACAAGGTGGATAAAGTGATTGATTTACATGGTCATATTATTGGCATGGCCTTAAGTCCCGATCACAGGTAAGTCATGGCCATAATTCATAGTTCAGACTTCTAAAAGTTTTATTTTTTCTTCTTGTCCTGCAGATACCTCTATGTCAATACCCGACCATGGCCGGAAAATTATGTAATCTCAAATCCGTTGGAACCCCCGCCCATAGCTCAGGAAATTGACATACATGTTATTGATCTCATGACACTGAAACGTGTTGGCAATATGCTGAGGGCCCACAAAGCCTACACGCCCAGCAATGAGTGTTTCTTTATATTTTTAGATGTGTGCGATGATTATGTGGCAAGGTGAGCCATTTTAAATATACCAGACATTGATTAAAAATATTTTTTAGAGTTCTACAATTAGGCATCGATTTTTAAAAATATTTTTAGAAGTCTACCATTACCATTCAACAAAATTACAATGTGTTTGTTTAGACAAATCTTAGTCAATACATCGGCAACCATATTTGTTGAAGGACTATATTTCAATTTTATTTTATTAGTCTGGACTAAATCACGTATTTGGTGGAATCTTATGTCTATATATTTCAACAGCTTGTGATAAAGTGGGTTTTCGCCAACTTTAATGCTCCTTGGTTGTCGATGTGCAAAATTACGTATTCACACTTCCATACGCCTATTTCTTTTAATAGACGCTGCAAATATATCGCCTCCTTTGCTGCTTCTGAAGAAGCTACGTATTCAGCTTCCGTGCTACTAAGAGCGACTTATTTTTGCTTTCTGGATTCCCACGATATAGGGCATCCTCCAATTGAAAATATAAATCCGGTATATGATTTCCGGTCTACTGGGTTACCATCCCATTCCGCATCCACGTAACCTTCCAGGTTACTCCCATTAGGTTGATATATTAATTTCTTGTTGATCGATCCTACCAAGTATCTCAGAATATGTTTCAGGCCAACCATATCTGAATTTGGATGGTCAGAATTTTTCTGAGCCATTTTCGACACTAAATGCAAGATGTCAGGTCTCGTAGAGATTGATACTCGGTTTCATCTACATGTTCGTCATCATCACTACAATTTACCTTATAACCGGGTTCCAATGGTACTTGATGTGTTTTACAATCTTCCATTCCATATTGTTGTAATAGATGGCGAATGTATTGACTTTGTCCAAGTTTTATCATACCCGTTTCACCTTCTCTTTCGATCTCCATACCCAGGAAGTGACTTAACTGCCCCTTATCGCTGACATCGAACTCACTTGCCAAATTATTTTTGATCTCCAAAACAACCATTTTTTCTTTGCATCCAATAATAATGTATCTACGTAAACGGCGATCAACACTAGCATATTTCTCATCTTGCCTTTATAGAGCCAGGGTTCGTTATCACCTGGTTTAAAATTCATCTTACGTAATGTGGCATCTAGTTTGGAGTTCCATTCCCGTCCGTTTTGTTTTAGTCCATAAATAGCCTTATGGAGACGTAGAACTTTGTTCGGCGAACTATTTTCCTCAAAATTCGATGGCTGCTGCATATATACTTCATTAAGGAGTTCCCTGTTCAAATATGCAGTACTGACATCGATTTGATGTAAATACATTCCCTTCTTAACAGCCAGAGCCAATAAAATACGAATTGTTGAGTAACGAGCGACAGGCAATAAATCTTGTTGAAATCTATTCCGTATCGTTGGTGAGAACCATTGGCTACTAGGCGAGCCTTATACCTCTCAATTTCACCATTTACATTCCTCTTTATGGCATAGACCCACATACATCGAATAGCTTTTTGTCCTCTTGGGAGATCCACCAGCGACCAAGTCTTATTTTTGCAAAGAGCACGATATTCATCTTTCATTGTCTTTAGCCATTTGTCTCCATTATTACCAGATATTGCCTGCTCCACCGTATTTGGAATATTTTCGTCAACAGCATAACATAGGACCTCATTAGGTTGCTTTCGTGGACGACCAGACTTTCACTTGCGAATAATTTTATGCCTACCTGCACCGACTTTCTTCGGTATATCCTGTGCAGCACCAATTTCCTCATCTCTGGACTCACTTTCATTTTCAGCTGTTTCTACCCTTCGAAATCACTCATATTATCCTCGGAATACACTGCACTTTGAATTTCAGCTCCATAGTCATTTCCACCATCCGATGCTTGTCTTTGATGTAAATTATTGTCTGTGACTCTTTCATTACCATCGGATTCAATTTCGTCTTGCAGAATATAATCAAAAAATTTATTACTCGTGGAAAATCCTTCATCGCAAGATATCTCACTGCAACTACCAAAACTATTTTCGTCAAAAAGCACATCCCGGCATTCGATGACTTTATATCATACAGACGGTTCGCCTTAGCTGTCGATGAATATCCAACCATTATATACCGCCTGCCTTTAGCATCGAATTTGGATTTATTCCCAGACTTATCTTGAATACAAACATGTTGTCCGTTCGGTCCGCTTGCAACACAATTTCACCATCTGGTCTCTTCACTGATGATCTCTTCTCATCAAAAGTAACGATTAAACCTCCATTCTAGAATTTGCAGGTTTTGCGATAAATCCCCTTTAAAAAATCCACGCCTTAAAAATACTTTTAAAAAAATCCAAGCCTTGCCTAAGACCCCCAAAAATGTTTCTAAAAAAATCAATGCCTTTTTAAAATATATTTTCCTTTTTTTCCAGTGGTGCCGAGGACATGCATGCCTATTTATGGGATCGCTACTATGGAATCTCCTTGGCTAAGTACAAACACACCGATGTGGTCAACAGTGTAGCCTTTAATCCAAAAGATTCTCAAATGTTGGTAACAACAAGTGATGACTATTCAATTAAGGTGGGTGATACATTTTCAAAATCGTGTTTAAATTTTTTTAATAAAAACATTTTCCAAATATTTACAGATATGGCGTTCTCGTGCTGCTGCCAAAAAACTCAATATCGACATGTCTGATAATAGTGAGGCTTTTGATTTAAAATTAAATAAGGATGTGAACTAGAGGATACTCCCTCCTTCTCTCCTGCCCTCATGGGATGTTCAAGAGCAATATGATTTGATATTAAATTATATAGAAAAAAATTAAATTAATTTTAGATATGAAATAAATCGGATATTAGGCATATAAATTTAAAGAAAAAATAAGTTTTAGGATCCCAAAAGAAATTAAATTTTCTTCCCTGGAAATGTCTATGTCTTAATGCAGAATAATCAAATATCTTAAGGAAAATTGTACATTTCGACTATACTATTTGTATTTTATATAAAAAATATATATAAGACAATGTCGCCTAGACTAGAAAAGAAGTGAATATTTTAAATTTTATGATGAAACGAAAACACTTTGAAATCAATGCAAAAATATTAAAATTAGGTAACTTTATCTCAGTTCGATATAAACATCATTCAAAACCCTATTGTTTTGTAATAAATTATATTTTTCGAATATTAAAATTAAAAATTTGTTTAATTAAAATTAATCTTTAAAAAGATATTAAATATTATTTTTTGTTTTCTTGACAAAAAAAATTAAAACATGTATATGTCCAGTTTTAAATTTTTTTATTATACTGTTCTCATTTATTATTGTATATTTTTTTTAATTGTTAATTTTTTCGTATATATATATATAGTTTTTTGTTATTTTGTTTTTTCTCTCATTTATTTTATAAATATATTTTTATTTTCAATTTAAAAATACAAAACTATTATATATAAATAAAATTTAACTCTGTTGTTGTTTTAGTTTCTACAATGAATGTGATTGGAAAATGGCAAAAAATCAAACTACTAATGATTTATTTATTTTGTTTGTATATATGTATTTATGAGTGTGACGGCTGTTAACTATTTTTAATTTAACATCTTAAACTAATACTCGTATGTGCTTGGGTAGGTGTGTGTCTAAGTTAATAGAAGATCCTTTTAATTTAATCACCCGTTTGATGATTATGATGGTCGCAAGGTTCATCACCATCGTGATGATGATGATCATCATCATGACCACCATTATCACCATGGTGTTTACGATTACGTCGCTTCTTTTCCGGATGGCCAAAACAATTCTCACACTCTTCATCATCTTCCGATGAACTTTCACCAAAGACTGTGGGTTTTTTGTAGATGCAACAACCTGAAGAACCGAAAATGTTCATATTTCATATTTTTAAATTATTTTATTTTTTTACTCACACTTGGACTTCTTTTTTCCCATATGTTCATTGTCCACTGTGCCTTCTTGCCAGCCGACTTTTTTGTTGGACTTTGGTTTATTTAGGCGTAAACGTAGGACAGGTGGTGACTAGAAATTAAACATGTTTTTGCAATATTAAAAGTTACAAGGCTTGGATTTTTGAAAATAAAATATTTTTTAAAGTTCCCTGAATAAATGTGGATTTTTAAAACTATTTTTTGAATTTGTGGATTTAAAAAAAATATTTTTTTTTGAATTTTTGGATTTAAAAAAATTTTTTTTTGATTTTTTGAATTTAAAAAAAAATTTTTTTTTTAATTTTTGGATTTTTAAAAAAAATATTTTTTGAATTTTTAAAAAAATGTGTTTTTTAAAGATCTGAGAATGCGTACATTTAAAAAAAAATATTTTTTTGAAAAGTCTGAGAATTATTTAAAATGTCGTGGATTTTTTAAAAATATTTTTGGAAACATCTACCAACCAAGGCTTGGGTTTTTAGAAGATCGGTGTGTTTGAAAGGTTTGAGAAGGCGTGGAGGATACCCCAGAACCAATAATAGATGACGGTATCGAGTGCATACCACCTAGCCAAGATGGGGTTAGAATAACAATCAATCGGTTGAAGAACAATAAAGCCGCAGATGCCGATGGAATACCAGCCGAACTATTGAAGGCCGGTGGTCAGATGCTGATCAGGAGTATGCAGCAGCTGATTAGTACAAGACGATATGTGCCAACTATAGAGGAATAAGTCTCCTTCCCATTGCATATAAAGTGCTATCCAGTGTGCTGTGTGAACGAATGAAGCCAATGTTCAATGACATTATTGGACCATACCAATGTGGCTTCAGACCTGGCAAATCCACCATCGACCAGATTTTCACTCTGCGCCAAATCCTGGAAAAAACACATCGACACACACCACCTATTCCTCGACTATAAAGCCGCATTCGACAGCCCTATCTGTTCAGAGGTGTTTAAAGCCAGTCTACGTTCCGCATTCCTGCAAAATTAATTCGGCTATGCAGGATAACTTAAACTGGCACAATATCAGCAGTTAATGTCATAAAGGACCTCTCGGAGCCCTTCAATACCGAATGAGGATTCAGACAAGGTGACAGTTTTTCGTGTGATCTTTTTTAACATCCTGCTGGAAAAGGCCATACGAGAGGCAAAGGTGAACAGAAATGGCACTCTGTACACCAAACAACACATGTTACTTGCCTACGCCGATGACATCGATATAATGGTTCGAACATTGCCAGCGGTAACAGCCACCTTTAAACAAATTGAGAAGGAGTCTGCAAAAGTGGGGATGGCAGTAAACGGCGAGAAGACCAATCTGATGGTATCAAGACGCAAGACGTCAGGTAGACTCGGACCAATTGTGGAACTTGAGAACTACAGCTTCGAGGTAGTCAAAGATTTTATATACCTGGTACCGTCATAAATAAAACGAATGACATCAGTTTTAAAATTCGGAGAAGGATAGTGATGGCCAACCAATGCTACTATGGTCTAAGTAAGCAGTTTAGAAACAAGGCCACCTCCCGCCAGACCAAACTCACACTTTACAAGACGCTGATACTACCCGTGCTGTTATATGGGTACTTCCGCAAGCAGATAAGGCAGCTCATAGAGCGTTTGAGAAAAAAATTCTCCGAAAGATCTATGGGCCGATCTGCGTTGACGGTGAATATCGCCATCGAATGAACCATGAATTGTACCAGCTGTTCTCGGACATCGACACTGTTAGATGTATTGAGCTGCAGCGACTACGTTGGCTAGGTCATGTTGTGAGAAATTATGATGGTGCCTCAGCTCAGAAGGCATATAAAAGCGAACCAGCTGATGGTTCACGCAGAAGGGGAATGTCACGAATAAGATGGAAAGACCAAGTGGAAGATAACATTGCCGAATATTGTCTTTCAAATTGGAAAAACTGTGCAAAAGGCCGACGGGGCTGGAAATCTTTTTTAAGCTCGGCTTGTGGAACGAAAGTTCTGTCACAAACCAGCTAAGTAAGTAAGTTTGTTTAATCTCTCTTATTTTGACTCAATCTCTTTTAAATATAGGACCATAAATATACCATCCAAAGATGGAATGCTACCAAAAATATCGCTACCAATTAACATATCAACCTCATTTGATTTTAGGAATCCAGGATCTGCAGGTTTTATTCTTTAAAACACCGGTTTGTCGTCTATAAGTCCTCTTGCTGTTTTGTATGAATCCCTGCCATTTGTAAGAAACTAAGGAAGGAAGTCTATTGGTATTCTTGAAGGTCTCTTGATCTAAGAAAATGTTTACGTCCTCTAGAAGAAGACTTTTTGTTATATATGATATATAAAATAGCTAACTAATATTTAAATTAATTACACAATTACAAACGGTGTTTGCTTAAGATTCTTATCTAAAAATGGCTCACACATCATCGAGTCACAACAATTAATCTTCATTAAAATACAAACAAATGTGAACAAATTAGCTAATATCAACAATGATAAATACGTCCGTATGATGATGGACAGTTGTTGGCATCGTATACAACCGAATCCGTAAAAAACGTCTATTTTATTTATAGGTAGAAGAAATTTCCTGGTAGCCTTCTCCAAAATCGTATCCATTTTACCCTGAATACATTTCAAATAGTATTCTAATAGTTTTTTGGGGAACACCAGCATAACAGTCTGTATACCAGAAATCTGACCTACATATAATGCCCTGCAACTTGTCCTCATTATGAGTTTTTAACTATATTTTATATCCCCTAATTGGCTTGATTGCCTTAACACATCAACATGTCCTCACTCTAAAAAAATCTCAAAAATATATTAAATTCGATATATAGGACCTGTTTATAAGTTGTCGATGTGTGTCTTTTTGTGCTTCTACTTACATTTGCCTCATTTTCCTCGGGCTTGGGCAGAACCTCAGTTTGTGCTATTGCAACGTCTGCCGGAACAACAGTAGCTGCCATTGCTTATGTGTTTTTTGTTGTAGTTGCAGTTATTTTCCTGAAGATAACTTTTTGTTGCAATTTCAAACGTCAACACGATAAGATAAACAATTTTTTTCTTTTGGAAACAAATCTCTAGATATGCCGAACTTTTCAGAAATATCCAAAAATATAGCAGGTCAACGATCAGCTGTTTGGTGAAAAAACAACAACAACAAACACTGTTACTGTGACATAAAGCGCTTTGGCAATATGACAGATTGTTATTATTCTTTGAGAGTGATGAGTTAGTGGAAGACGTAACGTAAGGTATTAACACTATTCAGTTACTTTTCTATAATATGAAAGGAAATCGATAGATGCGAATAAAATATGAATATTGTGCCGAATTTGTATCTTTCCGGGTTAGTAATATAAATTGTCGGGCAATAACGGTTTTGTGTGTCAGTGTGGAAATGGATATGTATAGCACGAAAAGTAACGTGATATATATTTCTGCCTACCAGAGCAGGCATGAATGCTATCGGACGCCTGCATAGGATGTGGATAGTGGCAAACTCAATAAAATGCATTGGGTAGCTGCAAATAGAAAAATAGTCGCGGACAGTCAGCGGGTTTCTGGGAAGAGTCTTGGAAGAAATAATGGAGTTGCTATTATCTCAAAATTGACTTGGCGAAATTGGCGTCCCATAATAATCAATCTTTAGGCCTAGGATAGGTTAAGGAATTTCTTTTACATCCGTTCACTCAGAGACATTTGTCCATTGTGCTCATCCTGGGTACCTAAAATAAAAGGCGTAAAGGAAAGTGGAAAAGAGGGGGAATACATAGACTAAGTTTAAAATAGTGTGGAAAATTATATTATTTTAGCCATGTCAAAGTTTTAACAAAGCTAAGGATCTGCATGGGATCAATTTCCAGGCCTATCAGTGTCTTCTGCTAATTAGCGATGGACACCTACAGAGTATATGCTCAATTATTTTCAGCTCTTCCTCATCCTCTCATAAAAGACAATAATTCACTCCGTTTCTATCTCATTTGGAAGTGAGCGATATAATCCTGCAGTGACCTAGTATGATCCCCAATCTCCCTCTTACTATGAGAATGCAGCGAGAATTTTCTACGGCGAGATAATTGTGGCCTACCTCACAGTAGCGCATACGGATTTTGCCAATTAATTAACCATAGGAGGTTGTACCCCTCGAGCAAGCTCATCGGCTATCTCATTCCCTTGTATGTTACTGTGTCCTGAGACCCATCATAATTTAACTATCCGTCGTATATCATGAAGAGCATCCGAACCGCTTTTGAGTAAGTAGTAGTCGACATAAGTGCCTTAAGGCCCGCTTGAGTATCGATATTTATATATATATATATATATATATATATGCCGGTCTTATATTATCGCCAGCAAGTGTTTTGACTATCTCAGTCGCTTTCGTGATAGCCAGGATTTATTGCCAGAAAAACGCTACAATGATCGTTATATTTATGAGTTACAGATGACTAGTTGCCTGCAGTAAACACCTGCACCAGTATCTTCCTCCTTTTTCGACCCGTCTGTAAATATCCACAGACCGGCCAGATGTAAAGTCGTTATGAGAGGGAATATAGTCACTGATGTGAGCACTCCTCTGACGTTGTGTTTAGGATAGTAGCATGCCCAAAGTTCAGTGACTTCCAGGCATCAGTTTCTCGGAACCTCAGGGCCTGGAATTTAACCAGAAAATTCTGTAAATTGGTGATTCAGGATTATATTCCAGAGCTCTATAAGGCATTTCTTAGTGCGTTCCTCAAAATTGTTTTTCCACGTAAGTTTTTGGTCAAGGACTGTACCGAGGTATTTTGCTTCTAAGGAAAAGGGTTAATGAGACTCCACCCAAGCATGGCAATCGGAAGGTTGGGATCTTTCGCCTCTGTCATCGTGGAGTTTACGCCATGTCCATTGGCGTGTGCCCTGTTGGACACAGTTTATAAGGCACCCTGCATGAAGGACTACATCATTATCCTTAGGCGAATCAGTAGTATCTCATTTATCACCGGAAGTCATAGTAGAGGAGATAGTACTCCTTACTGTGGTATGCCTCTGTTGAAAGATGTCCTCACGCAACTCTCTCCAATAGACGAATTGATAATTTAGGAGGGAGGGGATAACTGAGCTATCGAGAGCATGAATGTCAAGGAACGCAGCCAATGTGTAACCGAAGTTCTCCATATTCTTCTCGATATGTCCGATATGTTTTTGGGTTGATAATGTTCCTATTTACAGAGTCTAGTAACCTTTCTAAAGTGACTTGACTTGGCTTCTCTGTTCGGGATGAAAGTCATAGTTACCTCTTTCCATAGACTTGATATATAGCATTTCCACATTAAATGAAACCTTTTACAAATTAAATGAACCCTTTTCCAAATTAAATGAAACCTTTTCCAAATTAAATGAAACCTTTTCCAAATTAAATGAACCCTTTTCCAAATTAAATGAAACCTTTTCCAATTGAAATGAAACCTTTTACAAATAGAATGAATCCTGAAACATGGATTTAGGATCACTGTGGGGTTGTATGATTGGGGTATGTAGGAAGTTTTGGAAATTTGTACTAATGTGTACCAAATTTGGTACAATTTGAATTGTGGGTGAACCGATAGAGTTGGAATCCTGAAATTTGAATTTGGAATCACTATGGGGGTGTAGGATCAGGGTGTGCAGGAAGTTTTATTGGATGGTTGAGGAGGGTACTTGTGGACATAATGTGTGCTAAATGGAACTAAATTTGGTCAAATTTGGATTTGGATGAACTTTTAGAGCTCGAATCATGAAATTTGGTACTAAATGGTACTCAAAATTAATTTATGGTCGATATTAAAATAGTATGTTAATACATGTTTAAGTATTTCCTACATTCGCTAACGAAGTTGCGGGCATATGCTAGTGATCTATAAAACAAGGGAAGTGGGTTGATGATAGAAAATCAATAGTCTCTCTGCCATAGTTATATATGGGCCGCATTGTTGCTTTGATTGAATCGCCATATCACACCCAAGACTCACGTCTTCTTGATTGATGTGTTCTCAGTAAACGTCCCAAGCTGTACTAAGTTTTGTCTTACTAGCTTTAGGCATAAGTACACTGATGATAAGAGGCGCCTCTGATGATAAGAGGCTATCACTTTAGTCTGATGTTGGTGTGACTGTCACAATCTCAAACTTTACAAGCGCCAATTGTCAATTCTACCCCTCAATGGCATCTACCCCTTTTGTTGAATAACATCGGAACACTGTAATGTTGTCTAGCACCTTTCTTTGTGTATAGATAAATTTTCAATAATGCCAAAATACGGAGGTATTTAATGAAAATTGTAGTTCTATTTGCCCTTGTCACAAGCCCTTAAAAGCTGGCCTTCTAGTCGCATGCAATATGGCGCCCAACGGAAATATTAAATCTTTGAAAAAATTCTCACTGGGATGAAAATTTCGTCAAATAGCCACCACAAAAATGGCACCGAAAATTAAGATCGCAATAATTAACGTAACGACCTAGAAGGAAATAATATTAACGACCTAATGGTACGTTTACATAGCACTGGATTTCGTTAACCCAATGTGATAGTGCAATACTGGCGCCCAATGACTTTGCCTCAGGAATATACATATCAAAAATATTATATTTGATTATGGTTGTGATGGTTGTGAACAGGATTAACGTGACATCTATGCTACGGAATTGACGTTTTGAAACCTACAATACGTAAATGTCCGGGCTGATTCATATGAAACTTCTTTCTCTGTGTTGTGCTGTATGATTTGGAAAGTACCTACCCCAACTCCAATTTCTTGCAAATAATAATAACGTCGTTGTACTAAACTTTGCCATTGCGAAATGCGTTTCATTAAATACCACCAAAATATGCTTTATTTAGTCTATTGTTGGCTTTGTAACTGGTCTCGTTTATTACATGTAGTACAAAAGCCGGTTCGTGCAATGCAATTTATTATTACTTCATTATATGCTAATTTAGCGTTTTGTCAGAAAAACAAAAAGTTTTCAAAAATCACCAAAATACTGCGTCAATTTGGAAGAAAATCGACAAAATCGCCTCAAGTGTTCAACACTATCCACAGCATCTTGAGAGGATAGCTCGATCGTCGTTCTGAGTCGAGACTTGTATACAGGGAAGGTAATATGTTGTTTGGGATTTAGAGACCTGAATAAGCACTCTCACAACAGCTGGGATATGATGCTTCAACTAGGTTATGTCTAAGTGGAGTTAGTCTAAAGGCAGACAAAATATGCTACAGGATTCTACCTGAAGAGATCATAGTAGTTATTCAAGCAGAGGTACGAAAGGATTCTGCAGCAAAAGCCCTTAATAACTACTCAGGCAAGGACACATTAGGAATTTACAGCAAGAGATCTTGGTAAGTACTCAGGGAGGATACCGGAGATTTGGGGGCACTGGAGGATTGAACATCATTGTAAATGCTTAACCTAAGATATGGAGGCATTTTACTACAGGATTCTACACTACATCTAGCAGTCCTTTGATTATATCCTTTATAGAGACTTCCTTAGGATACCCCATCTTCAAAATTTCGACCATCCAATCGAAAATCGCTTCATTGACATGTTACAGGATTCTACCTGAAGAGATCATAGTAGTTATTCAAGCAGATGTACGAAAGGATTCTGCAGCAAAAGCCCCTAATAACTACTCAGGCAAGGACACAGTAGGAATTTACAGCAAGAGATCTTAGTAAGTACTCAGGGAGGGTACCGGAGGTTTGGGTGCACTGGAGAATTGTACATCATTGTAAATGCTTAACATAGGATATGGAGGCATTTAACTACAGTATTGTACACTACATCTAACATTCCTCCGAATGCATCCTTTATAGAGAGCTCCTTAGGATAGCCCATTTACAAAATGTCGACCATCCAATCGAAAATCGCTTCATTGACATAAACTACAAATACAACAAAAAGCGTCTTTTTGTCTGAGGATTTTCTATTTTACAACAATACT